CATTTGGAGATTATTGAAAGAGAATATTGAAAAGTCGACTTAACCTCTTGAGCTATTGAACGCCACTGTACTAGCTCTCGCATGTGTCGTCTCTTTGTAGTTTCTTACTAGTCTGGAGAGAGACTATGTACAGAGACACTGTTGTGTTACGACTTTTTCAAGTTATTTGTAAAACAAACTTAAATTTATTCATTCTTTCAGTTCATCGAAAATTTTATATCTATTCGAAGTTTATTCTAACGTAATCACATAGTGTGAAGCATTTTTAATTCCATAAGAAAGAAATTTAATTTAATTTCATTTTATTTCTGGTAAATGAAGGAAAAAAAAATTAAGTTTCAGAATTTCAAAAAAACAACTATTTTTGTAACGATTTTTCGCGAATCGGAAGTAGCTGTTTTTTATAGGACGTAAATTAACTGTCCACGTACGTAGGTAAAAAACGTAATACGTCATTACACGGGCTAAAGATAAATATCGAGACGAATAATGTTGTCAAAGATATAACGGTTGGGAAGTATTTTTCTAAAAGTGTAATGCGTCCCATTTAACGTAATGATTGCTGAACGAGAGTGCAGCGAATCCGATGTTCATCAGTTTCCGGTGCAAAAAGCACCAGCTGGTCTAATAAACTTAGTCATCGTTTCGAGTTGGCACGAAGTTCGGCCTTAAACGCGCTTAGTCATTTAAATAATCGTGCACGTGCTCGTAGCTGTCAACAAACCAGGGTCCACGTAACTCGCGAATCAATTCCAGACCGGCTCGACAAATCACGATTGTCAACTTCTGTAATCGACGAGCCTGCGACTCTTGATCGAACTCGCGATCGTAATGGATTCCTTTGCGGACGGGATCGAGGCAGATCAATGAACGGAGTCAGAGGAGACGCGATTAATCGAAACTGTCGGTCGGCTCGGCGTCTTTATTGACCCAGTCCCGTGCTGCGAACTTCTCGACAAAGACGACTTTGTCGACGCTTCTCTCTCTTTCTCTCTCTCTCTCTCTCTCTCTCTCTCGCGCGCGCGCGC